ATTCATCAGATATTTAAAATAATTTTTATTTTGTGAATATTTGCATAAGGCAAAGTGTGTGTGTGTGTGTGTGTGTGTGTGTGTGTGTGTGTGTGTGTGTGTGTGTGTGTGTAGTTTTATTTGGGGTTAGAGAGAAAAATGTGATGAAGTTGACTGGCCAACCTAGGTAACAGAAAAAGTTTTGAAAACCAAAAGTAACACGAGCTCAACTCAGCTATAAAAATAAACCTCAAATTTTGTAATAAAGCTCTCAATTCATAATGATTTGTGCTTTGTAGAAAGGAAATTGCTTAAGATTGCAAAGACTAACATTGTGTCACCAACAAGAGGAAATTCCACTGATTTCTTCAAGAATAGATTTTTAGAGATATTTAAATAAATTGTTTTCCATGATGCTTTGGAGGTCTAAGAGTCATTCAAATTGCCTAAAATATGAGTCAATGCAATTTTGTCTTCCCTTAAACTGTTTTGTGATGTCCTTAAAGTGAAAAAACAAAGGGGCAAAATGGGCTCCACAGCCATGACAGCATCATGTCTGCCCACTGCCACGTGTAGAAAAGAGGGAGAAATGCTTTATCTTTTGATGTGCCCCTGATGTACAGGAGGTCTGAGAGAAACCACTTTCCATTACATTTTGAAGAATGGGAGGATGGATGAACTAAAACCAACTCCGAAGCCCTCATGCTGGCAGCCTAGGAAGGAGAGGGTGCTGCATTACTCAAGGTGGAAATTTTTCATTAAGAGGTTTTTTTTGTTGTTGTTAAATATTTGGAATGTGGATAGAATAGGTAGACAGGAAATAGAAATATGCTATTCTTCCTGAAGAGTTAGCAGAACGAACCATGGTCAAAGACGTGACGAAGAACCTCTGTGAACAGATGAATTCTAACAGGAATGAACCCTTGTGAAGAGAGAAGAGGCCCAAGCATGAGAGCCTTGGGAAGTGCTGTGCCTGTGGACAGAAAAACTAAGACAATTTTACTAACAGTTCAAGGAAGAGAAGGTGAAAGAAAGAGAATTGGTTCAAAATGGCAGTTTCCATATGTAACGGGTGGGTTGGGGGAAGACCTGCAATTGTAAACTACAGTACAATCACAAAAAGTGCTATTTGCCCATGCTAAGTTTCCCCATTTGTGCCTGGTTAATTCAGCCTCTGTAGTCAGCAAGCATTTACAGAAAGGAGAGCAGAAGCCAATGCAATCTGATATTCATATTGGGAAAGACAAGTGAAGTCATTTGGTCACGTACATGCAACACATCAGAATTTATCAACTATTGCATACATAGAACACATCAGAATTTATCGACTGTTGCCTCCCTGGAAAATTTTGTATATTTTTAAATGTTAATACCCATAAATCAGTTGTCATCACACACACAAAACTAGAATTATTTTTTGTTTATTTCAATTTAAAGGCCAATAACCCTGGCCTGGGACTGTAGCTTAGTTGTTAGAGTGCTTGCTAGCATGCATGAAGCCTGGGTTCCTCACCCACCATGCTTAAAACTAAGTGTGGTGGTGCCAGCTATAATCCAAGTACTTGGGAGGTAGAGGCAGGAGGATCAGAAGTTCACATTCATCTTTAGCTGCACATGGAGTTCGAGGCCAGCCTAGGTTACACAGACCCTTACTCAAGACAAAGTTAAATCAAAATACAAATGTACAAAAACTATACCCTTTTGTTGAATGAATTAAATTTTCCATGTTGATTTGATGAAATGACTCAGTGGAATGGAACTGAATTTTTTGCCACATCCCATACTGTGTGAATACAGAACATCTATTTCTTTTATGATAGTAGATTTACAACAGTAAAATACACTCCTAAATTGGAAGCTGTTCAGAGTCATAATCTCCAAAAAAAAAAAAAGGGAAAAAATGTTAAGTGTTAAGGCAAAAAAAAAACTAATTGGAGGGAAATAATGTCTTTCTCAAATTCCAGACACAAACAGCTTGACATTTTGGAAAGGGGTCATAAAGTGGGTTATAATGATTTTGTGGCTTCCTCATTTCCTGTTTTATCATGAGCCTTTTCAGCTGCTTCCTTTCTCCAAAGAATAAAACTGAGTGTGAACAAACTACATTTAGTTTTAAAAACATGTGACCATGTCAATGTTTTCCCTCCAACAAACAGAATGTACTCTGGCTTCCCTGTTGTTTTCCTTGCTCCCATTATATAGGCAGAGGGGGGCATTTTGAAAATGGGAACAAAACACTGATCCCAGGGACAGTGCATCTACTCTGAAGTTTCCTAAGTGGATCTGTATTTGTTACATTATTATTGTTGTTGGTTGGGAGCTGTTTGTTTGGGTTTTGTCATTGTTGCTTTTAGTTTTTGAGACTGGGTTTCTCTTTGTAGCCCTGGCTGTCCTGGAACTCACTCTGTAGACCAGGCTAGCCTTGAATTCAGAGATCTGCCTGGCTCTGCCTCCCCAGTGCTGAAATTAAAGTCATGTGCCACCACACCCTGCCCCAAGTGGATCCATTTTTGTATATTGTGTTATTGATGTCTTTGCTCATTGACACATTGAAGTTCTAACCATAACTTTCAGACAAACTAACAGCTCGCACACACACTTGGCAAGAAATTCTGACTGACTAATTGGGTTACTGAACAAGAGAGCTTTTTAGTTTGCTTTACACAAATCCAGCAGAACTAGTGATCCTCTGAGCAGCACAGGCACGGACAATGTCTGACTGCTTTTATGTGACAGCAAATGGTCCTCATTGGATCACCAGGACTTAGAATGTTCTAAATAAGCACCCAGGGTGAGCACCCTCTGGAAAGCAGGATTTAGGATGCCATGAGTTCCTAGGGGGCATCTGTAGCCTAGCTGCTTAGCAGGTTGAAATCCAGCTATGTCACGAAGTCTGCTGTGTGTGGATGGGGTACTTACTCTTCAGCACCTTTTCCTGTCACAGGATCAGGGTGAGCGGCTGGGAGCTGATGGAAGGTGTGGAAAATCATGATGCAGCGGTGGCACCTTTGGCTCAGCCATGGTCATTGAAATGAGCACACAATGCTAATCAGAGTAATGACTGCTTGCTCCCTCTATACTCTCCAATCCCTCTCCACCCTTGCATTATACTAAAACAAAAATTCCAAATTTAGGGGCTGGAGAGAAGGCTCAGTGGTTAAGAACACTAGCTGGTCTTCTAGAGGTCCTGGGTTCAATTCCCAGCAACCACATGATGGCTCATAACCATCTGTAGTGAGATCTGGTGCCCTCTTCTGGCTTTCAGAGATACATGCAGACAGAACTCTATATACATAATAAATAAATAAATAAATAAATAAATAAATAAATCTTTTAAAAAAATCTTAATTATTATAAATCAATTACTTTTACCTAAGGTAAGTGGTTGGTAGGGTCACATTTGCTGGACAGTACCACAGGTGAAATACTTGCCAACCTGATGATAATACTGAATGGATGTCACCAATGAGTGACCAATTTGTATTTCAAACCTACTCATGAATTGACAAATGTTTCCCTTTCACTTACAAGGTGCCTGACTAAACACAGCCTACTGACCAAAATCAATAAAAATTACCAGAAAAAAAAAAAACTATGTAGAAACTATGCAGCCTTTAGACATAGTAGCAAAAAAATAGGAAACAACCCAAATACCCAGTTAGCATTATGTAGGGTTATTCCTGGTATGTTTAATGATGGTCTGTGTTAACAATGAAAAAGAAAACGATTGTGTGCATCGTGAAGAGCCAAGAAAGCCACTGTGCAACAAAAGGCAAGCTTTATTCACACAAACTTCAAGACTGGGCAAAATTAAACTGCAGTATTAGAGGGCTGACTAGAAGCCACCACTATAAAGAAATGTGAATGTGGCAGTGACTCATAAGCTTCCAGAACACTGCTAACATTAACTTTCCTGGTGTGTGGTCTCTACAAGACAGTGCCTACAAAAATGCACTAGCTTATTTGGTTTGTTTGTACTTTTTTGCACTTTGTTAAAAGGTTTATTGTGTGGTAAGATGAAATAATTAGACCCATTCTTCCTCACTGATCATGCCCTGAGGAGCAGGCATGAGGCAGCTCCTTAGGAATGCTCAAACAGAAACAGCAGAGAGATAGGGAAGGAAACGGCCCATCACACGACAGTGCGTTCATCATGTTTCTTTGTTTATCGTCTGCCAATCTGTTTCCATACAACCTGCAACCTGAAGTGGGCATTGCAGGTCCGGCTAGGCAAACACTTTACAAACAGAGCTACACCCCCAGCCCTGAAAAGTTATTTTTAAAAACAGTTTTGCATTTTTAAAATCAAGTTAAATAAACACTTACCCCATGAAGGGCAACCTTATCCCTGCATATTTACTCTTGAGAAATGAGCATTAATATTCATACAAAATATACAAGTATTTATAGCAGTTCTTTTTATGCATGCCCCAAACTAAAAAACCTAAATATTATTCAAGTAGTAAAGAGATAAATAATTGATATACTCAAATAATTACTTGTTCCTCAACAAAAGGGATAGATTGTTAATACATGTAATAACTTCAGTGATTCTCAGAGGCATTGTTCTGAGTGAAAAAAATAATCTTGAAAGACTATATACTCTACAATTGAAGCTGCATCCCTACATACCAACTGACAATCACCCAAAGACATCATAGTGCCAGAGAACAGGATAGTGCTTAAAAACAGGTGAAAACTTGCATTATATAAAAAATATATATATATATACCATGAAGGAGAATGGTGAGGAGTGAAAGAATTACTCTGTATCTGTGTGAGTAATCTGTGAATTATCCTGAACTGTGGCCACATGAATCTATACATTCATGAACATTTTGTATACCAAACTGTTAACTAAAAGGTCAACTTACTAAATGAAAAGTCAGCATAGATAAGGAAATCATCTTTATGTTTACTTTTAAAATGGGACACAAGTATTCAAATGAAACTTAAGAATTAAGACCATATCAAAGATTAATTACCCCACAAATGAAAGCCAGGAACAGCAATGTACTCACCACTGGTCGGCCCCCGGCAGTGTCCAGTACTGGAATCCATAGGAAAGTCTGAAAGATGATAAAACAAAGAAAGAACGATAACAGTTATACTTCAGGAATTTGCCTATAAAATGTAATTCTGTGACAGCTTGACTTGGATAAGGACCAGGCATTTCCAATACATGGTCCTTCATTAGTGCTGTGAGGTAGCCCCACTATTGGGGGTTGAATAAGGATGAGGCCTTTCTTGGATGTGACTGAAAGTTGTTGTCCATGAATCCTAGTCACCTGTGCATAAAATTATAGCATTTAATAAAAACCATGTTCTCGAATTTCATTAACACTGTAAATGAATATTCTGTCTCAGTAAAGCCCACATAAATATTAGGTACTGGCCCAATATGTGTGACTTTGTGACAGATAGAACCAAATAAATACACCTTGTCAGTGAATGGCTGTGTCATGCTCTACTGGCACAGTGTCTATGGGAAATCCAGAAAGAACTCCAGGCCCTTTGTTAAATGCAGACTAAACAGTTTGGTGGAAAGGAAGCCTAGCACTTGTAGATCGCTCAAGCCAGTACAATTAATAAATGTGGCAATAATTAGGATTTGCCATTGGTTCTTTTCATGATGCTGCAATTCCAGAAAATGGTAATGATAATGGCCTTCTGTGTTCTAATTAGGAGAGCAGCCTCTAATGAATTGTGCTGTGTGTCCCTGCAGAGTGCCATGCTGAGAGACACAGTAACTAACAGTGGATTCTTGCTGACACTCAACCCACACTTTCATATAAGAGTTGTATACTTGTATTAGCACTTAATGTTAAGCAATGCCTTTACTTAGCCCGATAAAACAACACATTCTTCCTCTGTCCTAATGCTCCCTAGGTCATAAAAAACATGAATGGGGAAGGGTTTAAAATGCTGAGTATGCTTCGGGCATGCTAAACACGGGCTCTACCACTGAGCTACACACGTGGTCTTAAGCTAACATGCAAAAAGCTGTATCAGAGGAAAAACAAAGGTTCCCAAATAGATGAATAAACAAGGAATACTAGTTCTACAAGCATTTGACATAAGCCATTAACTTGATGACTTTTATCCTATTCAAACGTTATCTGTGATAAATTTACCCAAGTTTTAAAGTAATATGCCAATGTTGCTGTTCCTGAAGAATGAGGAGATGCAATGCATCTGGTTTATATAAAACAACTTCCCTGAAGATAAATGAATTTTATTGGTTCACATTTAAAACATTTAGCATTTAAAGTTTATATGAAATGAAAAAAATACAGCTTCTTAGAGTGGGGAACCCCTATGAAACAGTTGAGCCAAGGTGAATGCTTTCCTTATTATGTGTTCTTATTGCCAGAGATGTTTCTGTACTTCAAAAAAAAAAAAAAAAGTTAGAACTGCTAAAGAAAATCAGACCTTTCTGATCACTTTTCTTCTGATAGTCAAAATTTGAAATTCTGCCATCAAAATTACCCTGAATTGAAATGATAGCTACTGTGTGATTGTTAGATTTTGTGCTTCAAGGATTTCTAGTGAAGTCACAGAGATTTCTGAAAGAGCCTATATGAGAACAGTGCTGCAAAGGGACGTGGGTGACGAATCCAGCACCCTTTATGGAATCTGAATGTCCTTTGGCATGGCTAGAGTAGAGATTGGAGCAAACAAAGTGTAAATCTAGAGAGGAAGAGGGGTGCGAATCTAAAGGAGGCGATCTAAAGGATGTAAGCAATAGATACACATTTCTGAAAAATCATTTTGCCAGAAGATGAAAGAGGAATACTGCAGATAAAAGAGGCAGTCATGGTGTGTTATCATAATCCTTATAGGTACAGGGAGCCCAAAGAGAGTGACAGGGAGAGAAGGAAGAAATCTGATTCTGCCTAGAGTGCTGCTGCTTGATTGCCCTGACCACCAGGGATGAGGAAAGACAGAATCAAGGCAGAATCCCAAGCCTGAACAACTACAGCATAAAGCATGCTCCAGAAGAGTAAGTGTGGAGGCCAGGGAAGCATGAGCTCTGGGGGGCTCTGAGCCTAAGGGACTCAGATTAGATGACATCCTCTCCTATCTCAACAGTGCAGCCAAACAGTCATTCTTTATCTCTTGGAACCCATTGTCCTGAGGGCCCTTTTATTCTTTTAAGCCATAAGTCAACACAATGGAAATACTTTGTTCCTTTAACTTTAACCTAATGAACAAAAGACACAGATTTCCCACAAGATCAAAATCCATTTTCTTAGCAAGAGAAGATGATAGTGTTGACCAGAATGTGGTATGAACCCTTGTTTTCTCACACACTGAATTAATTTGACGAGTCACTTCTTTGTGTACCTTTCTGGTCTTTCCTATAAAATAGGTATAACTGCTGACCACGAATCTGTTATGCGACCTCATATGCACAGCTCAGATGACAATGCCTAGAACATGGATGTGTAGTCAGCTTTTATTCAGTCACCACTAAGGATCCTTGTCCTGAGACAGCAGGTTCTCTCCCTGGTGTGGTTGCTGTTAAGCATGGTTTCTGTGCTTTTCCTTTTACCAACCATTCATTTCGCTTGTTATACACCAATGCCAACCAATGTCAGTCAAGTGACATGCTGAAAATGAACGACAAAACCAACTAAGGGTTTGCATCGATAAAACTATGATTGTTTATAAACTTACAGACTGAGGCTAGTACTTAATTATTCAAAATTGAATGCCTACGAAGCGGCTCTTACTCTAGGCTACACATCTAGCAGAAAGACAAAGGCCAAAGACAACATGGTCAATTTTTCTCTTCCATCAATTCTTTCAAAGTTTGGTAAAAGGGAGGCAAAAGGTGAGTGTTTAAAATAAGTTAGGGACAATCTAAGATTTCACTAGCACTGACAATTGGGTTATCGATAAGTAAAATTAATAACACAGACTCTCTTCCCAAGCCAGGAAGAATGCCTTTTGGTATCGACATGATGGATCCTCAGAATCGTGTTTTTCTCTCTAGCCCTAACTTAAAACTTTACTTCTTTCCACCCTATGTTCTTGCTCACATCCTCCCTTCTTGGTATTTGGCCCCTCAAATATTTGTAGACCAGGGCTAGCACTAAAGAAAAGGCTGCCTGTTCCTCAGAGAGTGGAGAGATGATTAAATGGCCAATTCTGCATGTGAAAGGTGGTAGGGCTCTGCCAGGCCGCAGCCTGGAGAATATATTGTGCAAGAGCTCGGGGGAGCACGTTAGCACTAACCAGAAGCCAGCAATAACCGGCTGTTTTTAGAGGGGATTTTAATGATCTTGGCACAGCAAGCTATAAGTGTTCCAGAAAGAGATGCACAATATCCTATCGTTTATATATTTAATAAAACGTTCATTCTTTTTTTTTCTCTTTGATGAGATTGTGACTTTAATTAGGATTAGTTATAGGAGCCTGGATAAGGGGTTACTTAAATCAGGAAGAGCCACTTACCAATGGCCACACTATTGAAGAAAATGTCTCTCCCTTCCCTGCAACCATAACCTGCCTATAGATACTCAGGGAGGAGTGGAGCCTCCAAATCCACCTCCCCCCATCACAGCAACTATTAACTGCTTATAGGTCCTCAGGGAGGGGCAGAGGCTTGAGAGTCCCTTCCCCAATAAACTATTTCTAGTTAACAGACATCAGTCAAACTACTTTTTTTTCCCCCCTATTATTACCATAGGAATTTACTCCTTAGCCTGAATTCTAGCTTGATTTGTATGGTATGAAACATTAATTTTCTATATTCAAGAGAAATAAAACCTGTTTCTCCTATTGGATCCTAGGGTAAATCCTGCTGTCCAGAGCAGAATCCAAGACTGGGTCTGCATTTGTCAAGTTAAAAAAAAAAAACAACGCAAAGGAAAAGTGAGTCCACTCAATACAACAGCAATAAAAATAGGAAAACTGCAGCAGCAATTGGTTCAGTGATCTCTTGGCGACAGGTTCAAGACCCAGCAATTCACATGCTGTCAAGTCCTCACCTTGCCCTTAAGATACAGACACATTTGCCTTTACTTACATGTAAGGGTTGTGAAGTCATATCGTTTCCCTATAGCCAGAGTGGCAGGGGCCCGAATACCTGGTTTCCAAGCCTCACTCACTATGCAATCTTTTTGTTTGTTTGTTTTGTTTTTGTTTTGTTTTGTTTTTCAAGACAGGGTCTCTCTGTAGCTTTGCAGCCTGTCCTGGAACTCATTCTGTTGACCAGATAGATGGCCTCCAACTCACAGAAATCTCTCTGTCTCTGCCTCCTGTGTACTGAGATTAGAGGCATGTGCCACCACCACCTGGCTTTACCGCGCAATCCTAAAGATTTGCCTAAATGTCTCAAATAACCAGCAGATGTCTACAGCCATACTACCCTGACCGCGCCCAATCTCGTCTGAACAAATAACCACCAGAATGGCCAAAGTGAGATAAGCTCTCAGATAATAATACTCAAAGTCCTACTTTACAACAAACACGAAATATACAATAAACTTAACATAAAATTATTAGCTTTGGTTGACGTACCATGTGTTCTTTATAAAAATTTGCTTATGCTTAGTGCTTGAGAAGTAAAAGGTAGTCTGAAGCATCAGTCTGCTCCATTCAGACTTTGTTCTGTTAAATGCCCTAAGCTTGTTGCTGAGTCACAATATGTTAGGTATAAACAGAGAACCATGAATGGTATGAATGGACTAAAATCCTCCTGATTCAGGAATGTGAAGATTTATGCCATTCTTTAAAGAAATCTCATTTTCATATCTGGTTAAATAGAATCTGGTCCTAAGACACAGAGATTCTGCTTATACACGAAGGAAGGGGAAAAAAAACCCACTGTTTTGTAAACTATTGTATTCCAATAAACCAAAGAATAAATTAAAATGATGGCATGTGGTAGTTTTTTTTTTAATTTTATGTGTATGGGTGTTTTGCTTGCATGTATGTCTGTGCACCACATGTATGCAGTGCCCATGGAGTAGAGGTTCAGCACCTGGTTCTGCACTCTAAGGTAGGTAGGTATGTATGTATGTATGTATGTATGTATGTATGTATGTGCACCATATGTGTGCAGTACTCAATGAAGCCAGAAGAGGACACTGAATCTCCCAGAACTAGAGTTACAGACTGTTAAACTACCATGGGGGTACTAGGAATCAAACCCAGGACCTCTGGAAGAAGAGTCGGTGCTCTTAATTACAGAACCGTCTCTCCAACTCCATGCTGCAGTATTAAATAATTCCAGGTTTCTGACAGTTTCACCCAACAGAGGTACTGTGTAATTTTCAGTAGACTGGAAGCCAGGGGGCTCTTCAGGACAGCATGCACCTCTCCAAACCTGTCCTCATCTCCTAGTTACTGTTTCATATAGAAGTGAGGGTTGGGAGCATCCTAACTATCCCCTGCCCTCAGGCACTTTTCTTCCAAGGATGCTGTCAGTAGAACAAATGCTCTGAAACTTACTTTAAAGCATTTCAGCAATCTTATCTCCTGGACTCACAAATCATTCCTATGCATGTCCTATTTGAGTGTGTCAGTGAGGAAATCATCCCATGTTTAGTCTATGGTGATAGGTAACTCAGGGATGCCAAATGAAAACTGCTTCTCACCTCCATTGACTATGGCCTTTGAGCACACTTAGACTTGCAAAACCTCATTCATTCCAGGTCCTTCTATAGAAGGCTTAGGCTTAGGCTCAGGAGAAAAGTTTGTCTTCTCAGGGGAGCATGCATTTCAGAGGGAAACACATCATTCCTAGTGCTTGGCCTGAGAAGAGTGTTAGCATTTAACTGACTTTAACAGTGTCAAGCCAGGATAGCAACTGCATCTAGTTCTAACAGTGTCTGCAGAGCCTATGACTCCAGTCAGTGCCAGAGTGCTCTTTTAGACAAACAGTAAAAAGAATGTTTCTTTTGGATTACCTTATAAAACTAGCTCTTGATGGTTAATTGGCCTTCAGAAGACAGCTCCTGTATTCATGGTGCTAAGCTAAGTAAAGTGATCACCAGGAAGTTATGAGATCTTCCTGTTCTGTCTTCATTATTCGGCTCTTTGTATTATTCTTCCCTTTCACCCACTCTAAGTTAATGACCATAATTTTTCTGAATCAGCCCCGAAATGACTGATTCATTAACTACGAACTGAGGATATGAGCCTAGTTTGAGCAAGCTGAGAAACAGAAAGAAATGCTGATGTTGATTAGATGAATAGAGATGATACAACCAAGTGAGACACAGCTGAAAACAACAATCCCAGGAGCCTCTGAGAGAGGACCACTAGTTTGCTTAAGCTTTACCTTTAAAGTACATGAAAGGGAAAATCTGAGGTTTGGGTTAATCAGTCTGGAAATTTCGAGTTTACTGGACTGAGTTGGGGGCCTTGAAATTATGAATGCCACAATTAGACCAAACATCAGTGACACACAAATGGTGGTAAAACCCATTGAACGTAGAATTATAATTCAGTTTTATCGTGGGGAAAGTGCTAATGTGTGGGTAGTGTACACACATAGAGTACAGATGGGATAAAGGGTGAGATTAAAAATAAAATTATATAAGGCTATGAAGATAACATGCTTAAAATATAGCTCCATTTGCCCTTATTATGGCCTTTACAAAATGACTTGAAGGCACTCAGGCTTGTGAAAAGGGTCTGTAATTTCAGTTCCCCAGCTATCGGGCTGAAGTGAGCCACAGAAGCTAATTAGCAGCACATAGCAGCAATATTTCATTGCTGTTTCGGACTGGAATTATCTATTTCGTTGAAAGGAGGGGGAAAATTAAAGTGATAGTATTGACGACATTGGGTTTTGAGCAAACACATGTCACTAACAGATCGCTGTGTTAGAAGTTTATTGGCATTATCTTAGCACTTTTAATGATTAGGAGAAAACCAGGGTTTCCGCTTTTCTGAGGTATCCATACAATTGTTAAGTGGTGAAAACACTAAAGATAAAGCAACCCGATGATTGATTCAACCAAGAAACAAAGAAGAAAGTTAAGTGTGGGGACTCATTATTCCTGCTGGGCAGGGAAGGAGAGCTGTGGAGGATTGGTGTGAAGAGTGGGGGACGAATGGATGAATCAGACCACCTGTTGGAAGACACTCAGTTTGTTTCGAAGGATGATAAAGTGATTCTTTTGTTTTGTTTTTAAGTAAAAGAACAGGACTAGATGGTTAAGGAGAGATTAAGTGAACTGAAGAGCAAAGAGCGAGCAAGAAGATAAAGGCAAATAAATAACTAATTCTTCCTAGGAGGTCGGGCAGAGTTCAGGACTCACCCGCTCCGTCAGCGGTGACGATGGCCTCCGGAGAGATGCACACACCACGGTCATACACCGGCAGCTCCTCGCAGGCCAGGCTCTCCGGCCACGAGTGGCGGTACTTGATGAGAATGGGCTCGCAGCCCTGCCGGGCGCGCTCGCACACAGACTTGCAGGGCTTGATGGGCTCGTGCTGGAAGTCGATGGTGCAGATGGGTGCATACATGGCGCAGAGGAAGAAGAGCAGATCCGGGCTGCAGTGGGTGCCCAGCAGACCTTCGAATTGTTCGATGGCCAGGATGGCGTTAGCCTGGGTGCTGTGGTGCAGGTGGTTGGGCATCTTGGTCATGTTCCAGGGCAAGGACTTGCACAGGGGGATGCGGACGGGCTCACAGGCTGCTGCCCGGGCTCTGGGGACATGGAGCAGGCACAGCGCAGCCAGGACTAGTATCCCGCCAGCCCGTAGTAGCAGCATGCGTCCGCGGTCTCCACAGACCATGATGCCGGCAGGATGGGACGGGGCTCAACTGGGCGGAGGACGCGACAGGCGCGTTCCGCGGTCTGCTGCACTCCGGGGGCGAGCACAACGACCCAGGAGCTGTTCCCTCGGACAATCACAGCTCACTCGGATACGAGTCCTCCGGTCCTGTTCACGCGCTTGGAGAAGCCTGGTGCCTTGCCGCGCTGGCTGCTTTTCCCAGGCGTCTAAGCCTCTGGGCGAGGCAGCATCTATTTATTCCTCTCGCTCTGGCAGAGGCATCAGCCTTCGCACATCAATCAGATGAGAGGGGCAGAAAAGGAAGCGAGAGAAAAATGAAAACAAAAGTCGAATTCAGCTAAGGGACTCGGAGCTATGGGGTGTTAACACAAAGGTGTTGGAAGAAGCGATGAATTCTGCAAAGTGAGAAGGATGAGGGAACCTGAGGGAGGAGACTGGGGGCGGGGGGGGGAGAAGACTAATGCGAGCGGAGGTAGGAGTTTGCCAAGTCCTGCAGGGTCGGGAAGATCCTGCGAGCCGCGGGGGGAGCTCAGGGGAGGTCAGAGCCTTGGCTTGCAGCTGTGGCTTCCTACCTCGGCTGACAAGAGCTCCACCCCGTGGTCCCCTGCCCTCCAGCTCCTCCTTCCCGGAAGGCAGCGAGTTTTCCTGGGACTGGAGGTTGGGTGGGAACTTGCCTAACAGTAAGGATGCAGTAACCCTAGGTAGCTCCAGAATGATGCTCCCGCG